ATATATATATATATATATATATATATATATATATATATATATATATACACACACACACATTAAAATAACTTACTGGCTTATTATTCAGTGTAGACATTTCATTTAGTTTGGCAAATATGATAATTGGTTAATATCATTTGATACTGACAAACAGATAACTTGTAGACTCTGTGTAAGGCCGAAACTGGAAACCTATGTCTTCTGGCTACTTATTTATTTTAACTTTTTAAAAACAAATGTAATGTTTACAATGGTAAACAGCACTTCGTTATTATAAAAAAATCTAGCCTAGCCAAAAAGCTTTAAATTATCTGTTCCAATTTTACCTGAATAAAATACATATATCTCTGAAAAATTTGTTTACCTCTTCTGTCATTCTTTTGAGAAAATATGCATAGATGTTTCTGTTAGCTTGGCAGGACTTTCTCCTCTGTATGTTATACATAAAACTATGTATAAAAAGTTGTAAGGCTAGGAAAATATTTTATACATGCTTTTTTAGCGCTTTAACATTTCTTGGAATCAGAAACAGCATCAAAGAAATAAAGAAAGGCAGAATTATCTGAATTTTTATCTGGAAAATGCAAATTAGGACTGTCACTTCTAAATCTGTACTGAATAAAATCTTTGAGCACCAGTACCTGGAATAATGTTTAATTCTTACACATGCTTTAGAAATATTAAAAATAGTTCAATACCAACTAGTGGACAAGGGCACTAGATTAAGATAGAAAGACATTAAAATATACACAATGCTTGTAGAAAGATAATAGGTAGTTGTAATGTCTGCTGTTAGGAATAAATGTTTGTCAAAAGAAATGAAAAGGGTGAAGACTGTACTTCTGTCCACTCTCCTGTTGGGAAGAGAGACCTAAGTACATCAAGGCAAAAAGTAGATTGAAGGCACTGGGAATTGGGGGTTTAACAACAGAACATGTAAATAATAACATGGGTGCTGAATGAATGTGGATTGAATGCAGAAGTGATTGACTAGAATGAAAGATATACACAGAGTTGTTTATATACAGGTAGTCCTCGTTTAATGGCCACAATTGGAACTTAGTCATTACGCTAAGCAGTCATTAAGTGACTGTGCTTGTGATCTTATTTCAGTTTTCCTTTGCTTTACAGACTTGCAAGTATTATAAATTGGAGGATTGTAATGTTACGTTTATTACCACAGTAGCTGAGAATGGTTGCTAAACGGGACTATATGTATTGGAAAAAAATTCAAACCCTTTGAATTACTAAAAAAGTAATTAATTCAATTAATTACTTCTTTTACAAGTGTAAAAGAAGAGTGACTTGGGTAGGAGGAACGAAAAGACTGAGAAAGTAAGGATTGAATGGAGTTGATGAGATGTCCAAGAACAGAGGGATGAGAAATTTAAGGGACAAAATGTAGTGTGTGAAATGGTGGTGGAAACAAGGATAATCTGCAAGGTTAGAAAGGTATGCAAAAATATAATGAGAGAATGGTGTTGTTGTATACTAATTTTAACTGTGATACCTTTCCTTTTCTTATTTCATAACTCTAATTTCTTTGATTTCCTATTTCCTACTTCTTTTCTGCGTTCTGTGTTACTTATTCCAAAAGGGAATGGTGTTATGCCTGTGAATTCATAAATTCTGAATAATTTATCTTTTTAATAACTTGTGTTTGTGCAGATGTACAGTATGTGTGCAATATGGGGTATATGGGATCTTGGTGCCCCTAAAAAAAAACCAATTCTTAAGAAACAGTTAAGAATTCCAGGCTGGCACTGGATTTTTACAACAAATAGATTCATTGGAAAACATAAGGATAGGTTGCAGAAAAAGAATAGTGTAATGTGAATAACTTTGCAAAAGAGAGAGGGGGGGATATGCTAATACAAAGTATCTTTGTATCTTTATTTGTAAGAACAGGTACACAAAGCCATTGCCTTATTTTGTGATTATCTATTTTTTTTATAAAAAAGTTTGTGTAGGTTAATGTTTACAACCCAGTTTAGATTATCCTGGTGTATTTAATAATTATTTAAACCTTCTTCATTGCTTTCCCCATTTGGACAATTGGTAAAGATTTAACGGATGTCTTAATCATATTTTAGAAAAAAAAATTGATTGAAGAAGCTATAGTCCTTAGTTATGTAGCAGTACAGCCTTGTGATTGCATACAAATGTTTAGGCACCCTTGGTATGTTTCAGTGAATGCCTAAATAAACAAAAGCTGCTCAACCTCTAGGTAGGAAGTTACACAATATCTTTTTGCAAATATGAATTCATATTTACTGCGTGATGGGCAAGCTCCCATTATTGCCCAGCTTCTGCCAACCTAGAAATTCAAAAGCATGCAAATAAATAGGTAGCACTTTGGTAGGACAGTAATAGCATTCCGTGTGCCTCGACGTATAGTCATGCTGTCCACATGACCATAGAAGTGTCTTCAGACAACACTGGCTCCCTCGCCTAGGAAAACAGTGCTGAGCATTGCCCCCTTAAGTCAGCCACTACTGGATAGGGGAAACTTTTACCCTTTTAACTATTTCTGTGCAGTTATTTACAGATTTAAAATGGGATGAAACAGTATTAACAGTATGAAATATTTTACATGACTAAACTGAATTTAAATGCATTATTAGGGAAGAATTCAGTTAGAATTTTCTCCATTAGTTTATGAGCCTAAGCATTAAATGATTTCCTGGATTAAAATTCTTACTTGAGACGTCTTAGTAGATATGTTCTTCAGGTAGAAAAAGGGAGGGAAGGATAAAGGATATCACAGCAAAATCTAGGTTGATACTGCTGGCTAATATTTTTGGTGACTGTATTGGTTACTGCAATTTTTTTAATTTTTATAAATGCTTTATTAGAAGGACTAATTGCCTCATGGGTATGTTTGTTTTCTGTTTTGTTTTATTTTGTTTTGCTTCAGATAGTCGTTTGGAAGAGATACAGTGACTTTAAGAAATTGCACAAAGAACTCTGGCAGATTCATAAGCACTTATTCAGGCATACAGAATTGTTTCCTCCTTTTGCTAAAGCAATAGTATTTGGTAAGCATCCTTTTTTCAAATCATTAAATAATTTGGGAATATATCTTTGTTCATCGTGAAATAGAATAATTGGCTTGCCAAGCAATGGCAAACCACGTCTGAAAAAAATGTTCCCAAGAAAATTGCAGGGACTTGTCCACATTATTGCCAAGGATCAAGAGTCAGACTGATTTGGGCACAAAGTAATAATACATCCTACATGTATTACCTATTCATTGTATAGCTCATTATATATTCTAATTACAATTAGAATATCAAGATAATTTGCTACTCACTTGTGTAGATTCCACTCATGATTCTGGAACTAATTGTGGACCAGTGTTAATTTATACCGTGTTTCCCCGAAAATAAGACAGGATCTTTTTTTTTTTGACCCCCAAAATAAGTGTTTGGCCTTATTTTTGGGGAGGTCTTATTATTTTTGAGGTGCAGAAGGTGGTGAGCATTGTCACCTCATGGCTGCTGCTGGGTTGCAATATTTTTTGGGAGGGTTTATTTTCAGGGCAGGGCTTATTTTAGTGCATGCGCTCAAAAGCCCAATTGGGCTTATTATCTGGGGAGGTCTTATTTTTGGGGAAACATAAACCATTTTTGTTAGCCATGATCAGTTCCAAATCATAATTTGTCTTGCATTCCTGACATAAATAGAAGGAACTGTTGAGAACAAACAGTTGGGTCAGAGTGAGATTTCTGCAGTTATCACTTCTGAAAAACCTGACTGCCTCTGAAGATAAGCCTGAAGATTAGTCATCATCTGAGGATTGCTTGGCTAGTTAAATTGACTTGTTAAACTGTAATGCCTAAGCAGAGGTTGTATTCTTTTGTTTTGTTTTCCCTCTAGCTAATTTTTGCTTTCATAGCTTCTCCATCAAATTTCCCATTTGTCTTCATTCTCTTCCTGCTGCAGCCACCTTTTCCTCTTGCTGTATCTTCACTCTGGCTTTTCTTCTTTTTTGCTGTTTCTATTGGAAGGAGGAAGAAGTACCTTTGTGTGCCTGTAAAATGTGTTTTGGTTTGAGAGTGGTTCTGTGTGTGAGAAAGAATGGTTACTTGTTTGACATTAATCACCCTAGAAAATGCAGAATATTTTATTTAATTGCTATACTTAAATATAGTGTTCTTTTCAAATATTTTCCTATAGTTGAATTTTAGAAGAAAACATGCCTTCTAATGTTTATGTTGAATTCTTTCGGTACAATTTCTTGTAATTCTTTAGAGGCCCCTGTAAGGTCCTATTATGCTTTTCTGATTAAAAATTATTTTAAAAGGACTGATGAGTGAAATCATGAAATATACAGGTGATACTCACTTAACTATCTCACGTGGGACTGGTAGCTCTGTAGTTTCCCAGTGGTCATTAAGTGAATCACTGCAATGATTGCAGTTAGCCATCACATGACCACAATTTATAATTTTACTGCTGGCTTCTCTATTGACTCTGTTGGAAATGGGATGTGAAGTACCCAAATGGTGAACGTGCAATCATGGGATGCTACAATGATCACAAATGCTCACTGATTGCCAAGTGCTCAAATTTGCCAAATTGTTAGGGGTTCATCTGATTTCCAGTCAAAGGCTGTTCTAAAAGACTTGGGGTGACCACTAATAAGACACGCCTCTGACATCCCATCAGATGGCGACATTTAAGGAAGGGGACCTGGAGTGTATGAAGGACAGATATCCTCAGGTAGAGGCAGTCTCACAAGTAAACTGCTGGATGTCCCAATAGCATATTTTTATTATTTGGATAGAATCTTTTTTGTTCTTGAATTTTTTGAATGTATAGGCATGTTGACATTGAAAAATGTCTTAAATACATCTCTGATGTAACTTTGGACTAGGTGTTCTCTTCTGAGATACTCAAGTGCTATTGTTTCTTCTGATATTGGAGAAATTGAGGATAATACAAATTGTAAACTATTACAGGGCAGTGCTGAAAACATTCAATTGGGATTAGGGAGACTCTGAATGAAATCTCAATTTGATATAGAAACTGACTAGTTGAGGTTTTGCCTGTCATTGTCTTTCAGCTTATTTTGCCCCTTGGGACTGTTGTGAGGTAACGTGTCAGTGGTGGGTTTCAAAAATTGTTCGAACCTACTCTGTGGGTGTGGCCTCCTTTGTGGGAGTGGCTTGCTGCCCATGTGACCAGATGGGAGTGGCTTGCTGCCCATGTGACCGGATATGAAGATGCTGACGACACTTGTCAGAACCACCTTAAATTACCTCACACACAGCACTGGCATGCATAAGAATATGATGTAAACTTTTTTTTTATAACAACTTTGTTTTATTTTCATTTTCATTTTA